TAATAGTTAAGTTACTATATATATATATATATATATATATATATATATGAATAAGCGTATCAATATTAAAACTCCAAGAAGATGCAATATCTAGTCATATTTATTTATTAGGAATTTGTTTTGAAAAGGTAGACATCATTTTTCTACATCAAATAAGACTGGACAATCCAATTATGTACAGGAGTAGAGCCAGTCTGGACCTCCATTGCACCTCTACTATTTTTGCTCCTCTGCTGTTGTTATGCCCGTCCGTTGCTGCCATTGCTTTGCATAGGCAGCAAAAACCATCCAGGGAGGCAACTTGCCTCGAAACAGGAACATCTTAAGTTACCTCTAACACATTTTGATCAATATAACTTTTTTCGCTACGAAGTCTATATAAACTAAGATTTTTTAGTTCAAACAGTCCCAATATACAATATATGTACAGAAAGAGAATGAATCGTTCTCGGTCTTCCCGTGATAGCAGATCACAACATTCCGAATACATTAAAGACCATAGGTGCCCAGAGCATTAACTCAGAACAAAGCAGACATGAGCATCTACTTGCCAAATCTGAGTAATCGCAAAGGACAAATGTACAACTTCAGGATTTATTTATAAACCCTACGAAGCATGCAGGCATTCGTTAACAACTGGTGTGCTTCAGCGACCAGGCAGATCGAATCATAGTCTACATGTCTTATTCCAATGTGACACATCAAACCAATCTCCCCTAATAACCCGGAAGGAATTTATAAAGTCAGAGTACATAACAGGCTCAATCACAAATCAAGAAATAGCACAAATGCACACAACTTTTTTTAGTATAAATCCAAAGTTTGCACATTACAGAGGGTGAAGGGCAGACAGAGAAGCATCTATAGTAAAAACTATGTTAATTGAATATAGTGGTGGTACTTCCATATAGCAACATCAGTTTCAACAAAGGGAACCATACAACCAGATTAGTCAACATACTAATTCATGTGATAGCATTAATTATAAACTTAATGGCATAGACACTTTGTGCTATAATGCCAACATATTGATGCTTACTAATATCAGTTCATTCTGAAGTATTGAATATATAGGTGTATTTGTCCAGTCAGTTGAATTCAGTTTTGTTTAAAGGTGGTGAATATCCAGGATCAATGGATTCATACGTGTCATCTAGACTATACCCAAGATTCACGCGTATGATGGAAAAAATCCTAAGAAGCATGTAGCAAACAGGCATATTGGCCAAAATATGCTCCATGAATATCTTGGAACTAGTAAAAGAGAATCAAAAACTATTCTGGTGACGGACTTACTCAGTGCATTCATTCAAGGCAGTCAGAAGCTTCGAAAGTGTATGACTAGTAATCTCAAAAATTGGTCGACTACTATTTTCATGGATCTCTGCAAGTGCAGCAACTGCGTTTGCCACTACCATTGGATTATTGTCAGATATCAAATCCTTGAGAGTCTCCAAGAAACCCCTATCTTCCACCAGCTCAGCATTTATATCATATAGTTTAGATACACAAATAGCTGCTGTCTTTCGGACATAAGGATCGTCATCCTGTACAAATGGATTTGCAAGGACTTACATCTCATAATGAAAATTTTAGATGTTGAGACTAAAAAACTGATGGAATGTGCTGAAAAGTTATAGAAGTTGTAGAGAAACAAATATGTAGGTACAACACAAAACCAAAGATACAAAGGGAGTAGAGACAGACACTGGAAAGGTTATAAAATGGAGAAATAGATGAGGACCTTGAGGCATCTCTGAAGGGGATCACACAGATACTCTGTTATTTTGTCAACACGAATGCAACCCATTGTCCTCACAGCTAAAGCTCGAATTAGCGGATTAGGATCTTGAGAATCCTGCAAAAGTCAATGAAATTCACAACCAACAACTACAATATTTATAATTTTTATCCGATGACTAGTACAGAAATGCATTAAAAACACCAACACATCAACAAGCCGCCATGCAAGTCTATCTGGAACAGTTAGTCAAAAGTTTGGCTATTGATGACCAATCCAAACTTTTGAAACCTTTCAAAACATCATGGAACCGCAAAATGGTTCTTCCTTCGTCCAAGATAATCATCTTGCAATTTAGACTAACATATATTTTTAATGTAAAAAAGAGAAATAGGTCCAAAAAAATTAGTTCCATTGTAATGTCTATCAGGTTTGTAATCTATGTAGCTGCCCATAGTTTGATATTTTAGCCAGTCCTTAACACATATTGCTAAATGAAGCTAAAATATTGAAGCCAATCATCATAAGCTCCTTTCCATAAATTTGGAGATAATCTAGAATAAAAATTCAAATAAAGAAATAAATTTTGACTAAAATCTTCTCTATGATATACTGAACAAATCCTGTAAAATTTCTGAAGCAATGACTGCTTGTTTGTCACATGAAAGTACAACAAGTTAAACAGTGAGATTTATACATATGCATCACTAATGATTTGTCCAAACATATGGCAGATCCAAATTGTTATTAATATCAGACCTAGTCCAGATTCTATAAATTATTCCAAGATTCCATTTTCCACCTTCATTTGTAAACCATTAATGTGCTTCAATGTTACAATTACTTGGTTAATAAACCATTTAAACAGAAGTTGGAAATTGCATAAAGAAACAGTGAATACATAAAGTACAAAATTCAGTATTTAAAAGTTAAAAAACAACCATCCTTTAAAACCAAAAGATCAACTTCGATCAATTGCCAGATGAGACAACTGCACCCGACTCATGAATATAGAAATAGGAAGTGCACAATTTCCTACCTTCACAAATGTATTCACAGCAAGTATGGCAAGATCTGGTTGACTTTTGGCATAGTTTATGAGATACAAATAGACGAGTTTTTTCAGCTCCAAATTTTCCGTTTGCATGCAGTTTACCACATCTGTGAACAATGATGAAACATCTTTTCCAACAGTCATTGCAGCTATAACCTTCTTCACAGCATCTTTCCTCTTATCCTACAGAATAGGTTAGCACAAATCATTATTTCAACCGAATAAAACCAAATAAACAAACAAAAGATTTATAAAAGAAAAGTTCCTGAATGAACAGGTAATGTCCTCTTTGTATATCATGGAATCATGTTAACATGCCATATCTAATAGCGGAGAACAACTGGAAACAACAGATCCATACTAACTTTTTCGTAGTGAAGTAGTCGATCATGAAAATTCGTAAATTACTGCTAGAAAAAGAAAAGAACTCCTCATAGGATCATGGTGTTCCGATTAAGTAATTTACTTATAGCTTGTTCACCATGCCCACCATAGTGCAATCGTCTATCCATAGGGGCTTGCAAGAAAGGAGAAAAAGGACATAGGCATTTGCCTATCCACCAAGTGCACTTTAGTTTTTGTCACATAACTAAAATTGTTGCTTATGAAGTCTCCTCAAATTTAGCCTTTTAAACTCATCCATTTTAAAAACTGAAGTACGCGAATGACAACTCTGTATCAGTAAGGAACCATGATAAAACTGGAAAGTTACTAATTACTTTAAGATGCGCTAAAGCAACCAAAATATGTGAGTACAATATCACGTTACCGTCGCAGGTGACTTCAGTACAAACAAATTGGCAATCCCATTCTGTGTATACTAGAGCCTTGAGAAACCAGAAAAAGAAAAGCAACCATATCATAATGAGTACATAGCGAATTCAACTATAACGTCCTCAGAATCTTATCTGGAGCCAAACATTCAATTCTTCTCCTCTATCCTTGTGTACCTAGAGAAACAAGGATATGGTTGTTGCGGGCATTTTCTTGCGGGCATCTACGCCAGTGTTTTGATGAAACAAAGAAAGAAGCAAAGATCTTGTTCCCATGTGACATGTTTGCATGTTTTCCCTAACATAAAGTACATTGCAGAGACAAATCTAGGAGTGAAGCATTAAAACACTTTTCTCATCTCACGATCTTTCTAAATCAAGCGGCATATCAGAGAGGGAGGAACGAATAATTTCACGATCAAATAGGTTCTTTTCAGCTCATCAATCAAAGAAATGGACCAAAGCTCTTCAGGATCGCGAAATCCAGCAAGAAAATCCATCAGATGCACAGAAGGGAACGGAGATCTAAAGGCATCTGGCTTGATCCGTGGTCATTCAAACCCTAAGTGGATCAGATCGAGGGAAGGAGCATACCTTGTACTGGGAATTGAGCTCCTCCTTGAGCTCGGGGATTTCTCCCTTCTTGGTGGTTGAGAAGTACTTAGAATCGTGCCCGCTCATCGCTTCCGCCCCGCTGCCTGCCTTCCTTTCTTTCTCTTCTCGACAGGGAGGGAAGGCGGAGGAAATAGAAGAGAGGAGAGAGAGGCGAAAGGCTGGCTTTTGGTCTGCGTGGGAGAGGAGTTGGCCTTCGCGTGAACGGTCGTGGGTCAGGTCGACAGAGCAGACCGTGAACGGGGTTCAACTCTGAGCCGACGAGTTCATCTCGGATTGTCGATCCTTCAGCGTAGAAGAGGATCGCAAGTACGACAATTGTTAGATGACATGACAAAACTTGTTATCGTTGAATGTGTTGGAAAACGAGAATGAATCGATTGATCCAATCAGTTTTTGGATAACCCACATAATAATCAATCGGGTTACATAGAACTAATCCGGTTTTATACTATAATGAAAGATTATTTATTTTTTCATAAATTAAATATTTTTATTATTTATTTAAGAAGATATTTGCACCAATCAATCATGAAATTATTAGAATTAACATGTGGGGAAGAAATTAAAAACGATCTAGTTTGGTGTGATTACCGTATCACAAGTGTTTATAACATTGGTTGATATCATCTTTTTTTTAATCATTTTTATACTATTTTATCATTAGTTTAAATATTTTTATATTCTTAAACATAATTTTTTTAAAATTTTTTAATATATTTTAAAAAATTATATCGATAAAAGAATAACCCAAGACTTGACCAAATCACTTCCCGATTGGGTAATGATAACCATGCTTTGGAGATTGATTTTATTTTATTTTATTTGCAAATTTCACCATTACATGCGATAAGATAAAGAAAGAAAAATTACAGAGAAAATAAACAATACTTAGAGTTCTGTACAAAACGATATCCTTAATCTAATCAAAACTATAAAAACAATTATTTATAATTTTTAGCAGTCAAAAGAAATTACAGCACAATTATATAAAGTCCTGTTGAACATATACTACATATAAAGTCCCTTATCTTTAGATTTACAATAACAGATTGATTTGTGTTCACTCAAATTACCAATACAGACAGACCGACAGTAAATATAAATAAACTTCAAAGAGCTGCCGCTGCTTTGATGCACATACGTATACATTTTAGCAGCATTCTTCTTAGATCTCAAATGCAACCACCAAACTAAGATGTCAATGTTCCATTTTTCTCAATTTCCCGTTGTCTTGCTCGTTCCATCTTCCGCATCCGCCACTCTTCCAGAGCTGAAAGTACACAAAAGTAGTATAGTCTTCTTGCCCAAATCGAATTAGAAAAAAATCATGAGGTCGTACCAACTACTAAAGGAATAATCCAATCAAGAGAATGACCAACCAACCAATGATCATGTGGTTTCTATAGACCCAAGGCACAGGGTCGTTTCGTCTCATAATTGAAAGCATTTCATTGTTCTGTATGCAGACCATGGTTTGCCGTACCGAACAGTACCGCCCGGTACGGGCGGTACGTACCGGTCCGATAGACTTTCGGTACGCGGACCGTCTCTTACCGTTCCGGTACTGTAGCAGTACTGTAGCACTGTAGCACTGCTACAGTGCTCGGCACACCCGGGTGTACCGCTCGGTACACCTCGGTATACCGGTCGGTACACCCGTACCGTACCGTACCGAGCGTAGGTCGAAACGCCGGTACGGTACGGTACGGCGAACCTTGATTGCAGACAGCAAAGCTATGGTGATAACAAGGCCAATACTAAACTACCATGTTCACGATAATGTAGACTTTGAGAAACAGATACTGTGGGATGAAACCCCAGAAATTTTATTTTATGAAACAGTTGATCTTCATATCAACAGATCCGTTAGACTAAATTTGTGAGATCACTGATGGAACAGACAAATCATTATTTGCACTAGTATTCATGATTCACTTGTATAGTAAACGTGAAAAAGTAGGATATGCTTATTACAGACAAAATCTAGACCGAGTAAACTGCAATTTGAATATGTTTGGACACGGAACATTTTCTAGCATATTTTTATTCTCATATCTGGTCAGGGCTGAATGCTTTCTGGCTTGATACTTGTCCATATATGATGCATAACATGTCATAATTGTAATCCATGTTATATGATGTTTTGCCCAGGCCTTATGTGTTGAACAACAGTTGGATTAAACACTATTAATAAACTGTCAGCTCTATTCATGAACAGCACTATGGATGTCTTTCTGCAAATTTGATTACCTCATCCCATGAAATTGTGGATCTGTAACTAAATAAATCTACCAACAGGTTTATTTACATGGATAGCATCTGGATTTGTGTCTTTGTAAAAATAAAATAAAAAAAAGATTCTCATAAGACCGACAAAGCTTATTACAAATTATCTTAGATATCAAACTGCCTTTAAGCTTGTGGCTCTTTACTTGATCCACAGAAAATTTACAGAAATCTTATTTGTATTTTGCACGACTGACTGACATGCATATCCCCCTAAATCCTGAAAAAGCTTGTGTGATGATTTTATACATAACAATCAGCATAAACAAGTTTAGGAAAAAATAAAATGTACAGAGAGTAGCTAAGAAAGCAGCTGAGGTAAAAATGAATCAAGGATGTAAGAGATTAGAACTTAGATTTATTACCTTTCTGGCTGTTGACATCATTCATAGCCCTATCTTTTAACCTTTTCGACAAATCAACTGCTGCAGTCTGCTTTGGAACTTGCTGTATCTCTCTCTCTGGTTCAGTGTATGCTTCTTGCTCGATTTCCTTAATCTAAGTCATTTGCCAAAAACAGTGTCTCAGCTTGGTATAACAAGCAATGAACATTTATAAAAGTTAATTAATCACGAAAAGTTTGCTACCATACTGAATAACAGTCTGCCTGATAAACAGTTCACAATTGAAAAACCAAGTTGCTATTACACATTCGCATACCCTCTTGATTAATTCCAATGGCTCCATAGCATGGCGAATCTCTTCAGACTCCAAAATGTACCTTAGTTGTGCTGCAATAGAAAGTGTTTTCATGTCTTCATTTGCAAATTTCAGTATCCAAACAAAAATAAAGGACATGAATAATTGAATATGTAAGAAAAAAGACTTTAATTTTGGTAGAAAAGACAAAGACAAAGATCTCTGATAGGGACAGCATCACCAAGCTCCTATGGTGCCACATATAAAATTTTCCATTGTAGGCTAGATCCAACCAAAAGAAAATATTGCACAAACACTAATGTTTCAAATTACATATAAATTATGGGCTTGAAACTTGGAATTTTGTTTTTTCTCATTCCATTATTAATAAGAAGTCTTTAAAGTGAAATAAATTCTTCTTCACTCTGTTGTGCTCAGCGGATTCACAATAACTACCACCAGTGCAGGATCTAAGGAAGGCCAATGCTTGCAGCCATACCCATGCAAGCATAAAGGCTCTTTTTGTGACTCGTATATTGTCTAACATGTAGTAAAGGACTAACTTCTGAGCAGGCGCCAAGGCTCAGCCTCATAATATGTAAAAAGAATCACATGTTTGAAGAAACATTAGGCTATGAGTGACAAGAGAGATCATAAGCAATTGATGGGCTCTTGATTCTCGCTGATGCTTAAGTTTCACATTTGGCAGTCATCCAGCGGGTCCTTAGATCTGTAGGTGCTACTATGAGGCACTCTTAATCTCTTCTTACATCTGCAGACTCTGCACCACTCCAATTCACAATTTTTAACTTTTTATATCAGTTACTTTACAAAATCATCATTTGTTAGGCGACGCTCTAACTGACATTTGACCACATTAACATGGAAGTGTTTTAAAGCACCAACTTCACGAAAATAATACTTCATGTAGAACAAACTTCAACATGATATTTTTGGGTCCAAGTTTGACATGAGGTTCAATACTTCTTTTAGTCAAAGGCAAGAAGACAGTTCTGCATTCTTCAACTTTGAACATCAACACTAATGAATCCAACAAACCAACCATGGAGAAAAATTCCTACGATCTATTATAATATCTACAAAACCAAATAGTGAATATGGTGCAGATTCTCCACAGGGGATCCAAAGATTATTCATTTCATCATTCAGGCACTTCTATTCTAATGCATAGGCTAGCTATTTTCTTCTTCATATCCCATACCTTTTTTCCAATATATAATTCGTCGATTCTTTGTGCTAAATAATTTGGACCACATATACGATAATCATGTGATTGTGACACTTAGTTGTGTTCATAACAAGCTACAAAGAATATCATGATCGCCAAAAGCAGACCTTATAATCTTATCAATTAATATCCCAGCCAAGAGTTACAATACAAAAGTCAAGTAGATATGTGACATGAAACCAGTTACCATTCAAATGCCTAAACTGAAGGTTTGCTGCATCAAATGCTTATGTATCATTAATTTGACATGACCAATCTCTTAATCTCACAAAATCTGTGTTTTGATCATCTTGCACAAGCTAAATTACATCAAATGTGCAACTCCTGTTAACCGATCAACCATTAATTCTACAAGATCATAGAGCTTACCATATACTACAAGTATAAAGCAAAGACAATAGAAAAGGCTATGGAACATGCCATGATATCCGTAAATAGTAAATCAATTTGAAGTCTGCACCGAGACTCCTTGACTATAATTTCCCATAATAGCCTAAAAGTAACTAAAATTTTCATGCAAGCACAAGAGTCTTCTGTCAGTTGGCATTCTAATATTACTAAATCCAAATAGCATCATCACTTACCCATTTTTCCAGATCGATAGGTTTCAAATTTTAATCTTGACATCATGTTCGATATTTGATTACTTTTCAGAGGGTAGACAGATGTCCAGGAGATTTAATACCTCAAAGTTTAATCACTCCTAGATTCAGAAGCATGGCACCGCATATTTCAGACACCCAAACTCTACAACAATCGTATCTAATCGAAGCATATAAACATCTCTTGAAAAGCAGCAAAATATTAATTACATGGTTCGATCCCCTCGTAAGATCAAATTATATTCTTTCTCTCGTATTTAATTTGTTGTGGATATGGCCTAGGTTACTGTGTAGGCGGGAAGTGTTGATCAAATTCTTTTTATCCCCACTTCATTTCAAAACTGCATCTTTCTTACGAGAATTCGTTGGCATATTCAACAACTTCTGGATCGGAACTCCAAATTCCCAATTGTAAACGAATTAGAAAAGACAACAAGGACGAGGAGGGAGGGATGCAGAACGCTCACTCGGATCAGTTTGGTGGCCGGCGGTGGCTCTCCGCTTGGGGGCAGCGAAAAATCCGTGGAGAAGCAGTAGTACGGCGACGAGATTAAGGAAGCAGACGAGGATAGTGGCGTTCTTGAAGGAGAATCTCATCTTCCAGCCCTGCTGACTCTCCATCGTCAGAGGAAGGGGCGATGAAGAGGGGACCGACTCGGTTGACCAAACCCCTAACCCTAAGCCAAGCGAGTCGACCTGTGAGAAGCAGATGCCCGCAGGCGATAAGCTAGCAGGCGGAGGATGCTTCCGGAGAGAAGCTACGAGAGATCGCCGGCGGCTTCTCCTCCGTCCGACGCAATGTGGTAGGTGATTCCGATGGTTGGTCGAGGATAGGGAGAGAAGCGGCTTCCGCTGAGGCTTTTGAGCTGACGAATTAGTCTCCTGTTTGTGCTTTATGTATACTAATCATGCTTTAACGTTAGATACGTCTTAATTTCTTGATGTTAAAAATTGACCGTCCACGTAGCATCACATGCGATGACATAGCAAGATCAACGGTTGAGATTGAGCACAGATAAAGGAAGATGCTATATGAGATGCCACATGGATCTACGTATCGACCGGGATGCCATGTGGGAAAATAAAAAAATATATTTTATATTTCTTTATTAACCATTTATAGGAATTAATTGTTATTATATATGACGTCAAAAAGTGAAAAAAAATATAATATAAATTTTCAAAAAAATTGTTCTTCAATCCGTCTAGATGTGAATAGGTTATAACAAAAAAAAAAATCACTTATATTTAAAATATAAAAGGTCTATCATATGATTAAGCTGAATATTTTTCTTTTGTTGTGATGGATAATTCTCCTTCATGGGCTCCTCTGTCTAGGATAGATGAATTAGATCTAATGGGCTGCTTATACCCTATGATACTGTTGTGAGGCATAACAAGTTTATTTCTCAACCAACGTAGAAACAAAAAAAGCTACTCATCTGTATATTTAATTTTGCATCAAAAAATAAAGAAAAAGATGAATGTTGCATATAGTAATTTTAGAGAGTCATGATAAAAAATAAAATAAAATGATGGTAATATATATAATCGAATTGATTCAAAATCATTTAATCTGATTCGATTAACTGATTATTTGATTTTATAATTTTAAATTATATATTTAAATAATTTAACTTAATTTAATTTAATTTAATCGAATAAAAATCTTGATCCAATTGGGTGACACTATAAAATTTATGAAATTAAGCCGACGTCATTTATAAGATTAAGTCTTTTTGATCGATTTGAACTGATTAAAGGTTTAGGACAATGAAGTCAATCGAATTAATATCTTTTAAATTAAAATTGATTGGAATCAATTTAGTAAAGCAAGAAGGTATAATTTAGCAATTCAAATTTGATGAGGTGGTGGATAATAGAAACAAAAAGAGAAAAGTTATTTTCCAAAAAAGAAGGTTATTTGGTGGATTATATATATCTCATAGAAATTTTCTATGTTCACATGAGAAAATAAAAAAAAAAGTATTTTCTTGAAAAGTCTTTTAATATTAAATATTTCTATAATATTTGATATATGTAAAAGAAAAATTATTTTTCCTGGTTTTCTTAAATCCGTACTTACTATTGTTCTGATCATCATCACCATCGTCGTACCACCGTGATGACTGTTATCTTTCTGCTGCCTATGGACTCCGTAGGCTGACAGGCATCTGACAAATTGTTGGGAAGCAAATCTCTGGATCAAAATATCATCCCTCGAAGACGAAAGCATCAAGCTACAAGAGCTCGGAGCCGCAGAATGCAGATCCTGTTAGGTATCACTACAGTTACTGGTAATGCCACTAGGTGTGCTCCTCAAAGATCACAGCGAGCATCAAGGTCGCCAGAGTTTCCAGAGAGCTTGCTCCAAGATTGATTCTTTGGACAAGGAATGAATGCGGTGCTAAAGCTCCAGGGCAATCAATCACCACCAGCAACTTTCCAAGCAATGCACAGTTTGCTGCCCTTTTGGTGCTTGATGAAATGATGCCAATGGCTGTTTCACTGGCAGTTCACTTACTCGAGCGCTATTGCAGTTTGAGAGGGGTTTGAACACTTGCAACTCCCGATGCAACTGTGCTCGACATCACGCACCTGACGAGGTTGGCAACGATCAAGTCTGGACATGGGCGATGGGGGTATTAATTGATGACCCGTTCGTGCTTCCTGTGCATAGGTTTGGCTGCACAGGTACAAGCATATGCCATATTAAATCACGGCTGAACAGAGTAACATGTGCCATCATGAAGGGCATGCACAGAGAGAGAGAGAGAGAGAGAGAAAGTTGGTCATCCAGTGCGTTCGCAGCCTTCCGTTCCGAAAGAAGAGACAATGCGGTGATCCAGGACGGCTTATACTGAGGCTTTAGTTACTGAAGTTTCATGAGAGAGTTGTTCATGTGCTGAGTTCCTTCTATAGCCACTTGGATCTTCAGCTGAAGTGATATCAACTTGTGAGGAGTTGCAGGTTTGATGAACACAGCTAGAAATGGATCTTCTGAATCCTCTTAGCAAGCAATATCAGAAAGCCCCAAGGGAGAGGGATGGATGACTTGAAGTCCTTGGAAGAATTAGTCTTATGGTCCTGGCACAGAAATCACACTACCACAGCAAGATCAAAATGGAAGCATCAGCTGCCACTGCTATGTGATGGTCATGCAACTTCACAGAAAGCAAGCTTTCCACTGTATCATCCTTGGAGATTTAGTGGAAGATGTTAAGTGAGCCAAAATCGAGACAATGAAGAGGTGAAACAAATAATTCACAGAAGAAAGAAACGCATGATATGAAGCCAAGCTCTCTTCAGCAAGGTTTCAAGTACTTGCTTGGATGAGCCTTTAGCATGTGACCTGGGGACACACACAGTGTTCGATTTGTTTCACAGCCTGCAAAAGTGGCAGGTTTCTGATCTCTGAGAAATATGCAGACTGATTGCAGTATCTTCCAGGGTAGTAGTGGCCAAACCACATAAAAATAGGTGCTTGTCATCTAGCTATAACAAGGAAGGTTAGATCCCAGATTGATATATTGGTTGTAACATAGAAAAGCAAAGCAGAGATGAATTGAGAGAAAGGTGCATGAATCCGAAAAACTTGGACTGCATTCAGAGAGGCTCTCCTGTTCTGATTCTTATACAATTGTACTGTCACTGCGACAGCAGATTAGCAGGAGCTACAAAGTTCTTGATCAGATCTGTGAGATGCATCTTCTGTGGCAGGCAACAATATGCTTTGCCTGCCTGGTCTCCTCCTTCCACACCCTGCTGATATCCTCTGCCACCTGCACAGCATCATGGGATGCACCAGAGAGCCCTCTCCTCGTGAACCCAACAGCATAAAGCCCTGACTTCCCTTTCCACCCGCTAGGGAATGGCTGCTTTGGAAACCCATCTTTGTTGAACAAGTCAGTGTCCTGCAAATATTCCACCATGAATCTTTTAACTTCTGATGCAGTCAAAAGATCTATATCATTACAGAAGCCTTATTTTATTCTGCCTTCTTAACAGTGCATGTGACATATTAGTGTTCGATGCATCTGAAATCCAATGATCAGTGTGTGTCTGACACCAACTGCCTCAACTACAAAACTAACATGGGAACTGCATGCAGAAAGCAAAGGACATTTTGCTGCTATGGAAGAGAAGAAGACGCAGGTTTTACCTGCAGCCATGAAGGAACATTGCTGCAGTAGCCAGTCGCCAAAATGACCGAATCCACATCGATGACCCGACCGTCGACCAACTCTACAGAGCCATGCAAGAACCCCTTTACGCCAGGAACTACCTTTATGTCGCCAGATTTGATCTTTCTGAGCGCACCTATGTCGAGAACAGGGGTCTTCCCCTGCATGTGCTTGAGCTCCAAGGGACCAAGAGAAGGTCGTTTCAGGCCATACCTCTCGGTGTTCCCGAGTATCATCCTGGACAGGGCCAACAGGATCTTATCGACCACCTTCACCGGAAACCATTTCATCAAGAAGACAGCCAGCTCGAATGTGGATTTCCGAAAAATCTCTCTCGGTAAAACATGGACCTGAGGAGCAAATACAGCGATGAGTTCGCAGAGCAAACGGAGAATAAGCTCGCTTACGGCTTACCGAGTCGCGAACAGCCATGACAGGGAAGGATTTGTGGTGGCAGAGATCGAGACAGACTTCCATGCCGGAGTTGCCGCAGCCCACCACGAGCACCCGCTTCCCCTGGTACGTCTCACCGGATCTGTAGTCGCTCGCATGTATGACCTGCCCCCCGAACTTCCGCAGTCCTTCCATCTCCGGGATCACAGGCTCCGCATTCTCCCCCGTGGACACCGCCAGCCACTGGCAAATGTACTCCACCTCGGCGCTCCTGTTCGCGGTCTCAGGGCCTGACGCGGTGGTCCTCACGCGCCACATACCGCATGTGTCATCGTACTTCGCCGACTGTACCGTCTCATTGAATCGTGGGCTCAGCTCGAAGTGCGCAGCGTAGGACTCTAAGTAGCCTATGAACTGGTTCCTGGTGGGGTACTCGGGGAAGTCGTCAGGGAAAGGGAGCTTGGGAAGCTGGCAGAACTGCTTGGGGAGATGGAGCTTTAAGCGATCATAGGTGCGGTTTCGCCAGAGGGAAGCAATGCTGTTGGATCTCTCGAGGATCACGAAGGGGACGCCGAGCTCCTTGAGGCACGCACCCAGAGCCAGACCTGAAGGACCAGCTCCTACGATGAGAGGTCCGTTCACCAACCTGCACCTTCTCTTGAGGATCTCACGATGGCCAGACATCTGGGCCATGACCAAAAAGGTTGAGGGAGCTCGATGCTACCTGGTAAAGCTTCCTAAAGAATCTATTAGAAGACTCTTCTAAGAGAGTGTTATCTTGTGCTCGAGTCTTGAGCTGAGCCACAAGCGAAAAGGACAGTCTATGGAGCTGCGTGGTTAAGGATATCGGGAAGGAGAAGGAAGAACAAGATCGAGCGAGTGAGAAGGAAGAGGCGATGGAGCTTGTCGTGGTTGAAGCGTGCAAGATCGAGAGCCTTGGGGGGTCTATAAATAGTTGGGGTTCGCAGCAAGAGCTATAATGGAGGATGGCATGTTGGGTTCCCTTAATGATACTCTTTCACAGTCTCCTCCATTTCCTTACTGTGGTAGAACCGTGGAAGCATGTTCCCATGTTCATCATAGTCACAAGCCTATGGCGCATTACTTGCTGAAATGTTGAAGCATTTCGGTTCTCAATGTGGATATTCCACCTGCTGAGCAGATTAATCTTGGTGGCTATTCAGCCACTCTGAGCACTGAGATGATCAGAGAACTGATGCAATTCATCAAAAGGATGGAAAGAGTCCACACATTCACTTCATGAGATACGAAACGAGTAGGGCTGAATTGAAATGACATGTTCCAGAATAGAAAGAGGTGGTAGGGAGAAGAGAAAGGCAGACTTAGAAGTTTCACTTTTACTGAGTCGAGAACAACAAAGATTTATGCAGTTCAGTTTGTATCTACTCTGTATATACTCTGTATTTGTACGTCCTCCACAGTTGCAAGAGAAAGAATTCCAGAACCAATATCCTACAACCAGGAATGGGTCATTGTCTTCAGATTAAAAGGTTTCTCCAAACTTTTAGCTGGCATCAAACAGCATCTTAGCTTTCCTCCCTCCATCTTCTCATTCAGCAAAGTCAAAGCCTGACACACTAAATCTGGTCTGAAACTATTTGATCCCACTATTACTTGCTGTTACTCGGTTCATAGACTGCAGTTTTAGTGCACTAAGTCCACATTTATGATAACGTGATATCGTTTGTTCCACTGCAGATTTGATGAGGCCACCTCAGTGCTCGCCGGAGTATTGGCGACATCACAATGATGTGCTTTATGTTTGAGCTTATCTGTTGGTGGTAATACATGTTCTGATTTATGTTTCTGATGTTCCTGCTTTGGCCGATGACTTTTGTCACATTACTTCACTCTATGGCAGCAAGTTCATGTCTGACTTTTTGCAAGATTAAATGGATGTTTCGATTGACCTCTTGTCAAGGTGCTAAATTACCAAGAAATATTGTGTTGCATAATGTGACACCATGATCAGCTGACAGCATACCACATTTTCACAGCCGAAATCATGAAAAATGGATCACCAAACCCATGTTTGAATTTTCTTCTTCTGTCAAGTTCTCTAATAAGGACTGAGTCAGGATCTTTTCTTGGAAGAAACTGCACTTTCCTAGCATTTGTAGCAATTTCAACAACATGAAGTATTACAAGGATATCTTCGAGCTTGAAGACATTAAATTTGTCCTTGAAATGAGGAGACAATGAGTTGGTTGCCAAATTGATGTGCATGCATGAGCAACAAGTTGCATTCATGTTAATGCATTAAGCATCTCAAAGTCTGCACCAGTAAAAAATGGCTGGAAAGTCTCCTATAGATAGTTGGAAAACGCCATGTTGTTCCCCATGCATTTTCTCCTCCTCCATAAATCATGAGAGATTGGAGGAATCTTCTAAGCCACATGAACGAATAGTTTGAGAGCGATGTATGATGAGTCCTGAGGTCAAAATGATTGGGGGGCTAATAGGAAAACGAAAGTCAATAGGAGAAGAGATGGTGACAAGGGAGAAGGGAGAAGGGATTTGTAATCATACCTGTCCCAAAGAGAATGTCAGAGAAAGTCAATCATCCATGGCCTTACTACCTCACTTTTTCTTATTGTCTTTCCATCTTTATAATCAGATATCAAACATGAGTTCTCCATGTCTTTTCCTGATCATGAATTAGTAGCAAAGAAAAAGTAAGAAAAAACAAAAAGATGTGCCCATAAAGACGTCAAAATCATGCTCAGGAGAAAAGTTGACTCCGTGATCAAGAAATCATCACAACTTTTGGGACTCGGGTGGCTTAGCTGCATTACAGTGCAATGTGATCATCTCATCTGGGAATTCTAAAATTTTACCGAGTATGTGAATCCCAAGATGATACATACAGCAGCTACAACACCGCATGTCACACACAGGTGAGACTTCCACTGTCTCAACTATCACTATCCCAGGAACTACAGCCTCGATTTGAAGTAGATGTTTCTTGTATTTATGTCTTTTTGAGGGAATACATCCATCTTATGATCAGAGAAGAAGAAGACATGCACACAGTTCAGAACTCTGAAGCATGCAGCAGGTGATGGAGTCGAATCCGACGGCTTGGTTGCAAACGGTGGGGCCTGAACGACAAAGAACATACCAACTTATGCTGGTGTTGGTGTTGGTGTTGGTGTTGGTGTCTAGGGTTAGGGTTAGAATGTGTTGGGAGATGAAAGAACGTGAATGACATGGATCACCCTCGGTTCGAGGATCATGGGAGTGCGAGCTGCCACCTCGGATCCATGGCCACCTGCTGAGCAGAAACCTAAAACAACAAGATCCCTCCAAAAGCAACATACACAGGTGATAGAAATGATGGGCGCACGAAGGCTCGGTGGTGGTGGTGGTGGTGGATAGGGATGTCGCATCACATCGCCACCTTCGTTGCCTTGAGTCTTTCACTGCATCCCAACACCTCTCGTGGTGGCCAGTGTCTGCCTCTGGAAGGTCTCATGGCGCGAGCTCTGACCAACTGTAATTTGGTCAAAATACAAACTGTATACCCTTTGCATATCATTGCAATTGCAAGGTTTGTGTTATGTCTTCCAAATCCAATTGTGGTGCAAGAATCCATGCACATTCATCGCTAGCTTGGAAACATAGTTTATTGAGAAAGGCATGTGACTTTAGATTAAAAGAGTCTTTGCTAATTGCACCCTAATGGTTTAGTCAACACAGAAGCAAACGACCTTCGCAACGAACTCAAGCGTCAAAGACAACAGCTTTGACCAACTGATATCCCGTTAACTAATGGCTTTGAACTATTAAGCAGTCGATTAAACTCAGAGAGAGAGAGAAGAGAAAGAATCTTATTGCTTTTGGATGGTTCTCATCTAAATAAATAAACAGGAAAATGTTAGCTGGTTTTCATATGATGTTGGTCAAATCAGAATCTAATGGGCAGTCACATGGGACAACACAGTGCATGATGAGAGTAATCATGTTGATGGCACACCTTCTCGGAGATCACTTTGGGCCACCACGCTCGTCTCCCACCCACGGAAACGAACAAGCACAGCAGCACAGTGGGTGTGGGGGAGAGGCCCTCCGCTTCTTCTTCCTCCTCCTCTGAATCGATCCCCAGCGTTAACTTGCTCACCTCCCGAGGACAAGGTTCGTTGGGTTGACAGGCTCTCATGTGGCGTGGCGTGGAGCCTTTCTTTAGTCCATCGTATGCTCCGCACGCAGGAGGTGGCGGCGCAGGTCATGCACCTCCACTGGATTCTTTGAAGGTTCTCGGGACGTGTGCCGCAGATGTGGTCAACACTTGAGTCATCTTCATCAGATTGATCACATGATGGCAATTGGCAAGTGGATTATCACCAGTACGAACCCTTGTTTAAGTAGCTCATGATCGATTAGCAACAATAATGGAGAGAATTAGCATCTGCATCCAATAATAATAACAAGAAGATAGATCTAATTAGGTCACTATATAT